CCCAAACTCTGATAATACTAGCTGCATTTTGATTTGTTATAGGTTGAAAATAATTGAAATATCTCATGCAAATCTTACAGTTTCATCTCTTGTTAACACCTCTAAAGCAGCATTTTCATAAGAGAAGAAAACATTTTTGTGATAAGAAAAGACCCCTTGGACATAAGCTAAAGCAAAAAAAAAAAATATATATATATATATTAAGGCAGCTTGAATCACACAAAAGTTCTCTTTGATAACTAATAAGTCTACTTTGCTGTGGCTGTTACACAGTTTCTTAGGTAATTTATGGGGTATTTATTCCATAACATATTTTCTTGTTTTTGTCTTACATCTTCAGTGCCCTAAAAATATTTTCTTTATAATGTTTAAAAAACCTGTAATCATGTTTAAAAGATATTCCAGATAACTTTTTCTGAAAAAAAAAATTTATTTGTTTATTATACCAAAAAATATAAACAAAAGAATAATTATGATAATAATAAAAGAAAAAACTGCAAAAAAATATAGTCATATCACTAAGATGTAGAGGCTAAACTATTGGCAGAAGTCCAGTTGTTTTTAGAATTTTTTCTTTTTTTTTTGGTCATTGTGGCAACAAAAAACACTGGTCAATAAGGCAATTTCTGTTTTATGCTTACTGACAAGACATGGTGCAGCCTTCAGTCTGCAGTCAATCTGCAAATGGACGATTATGTAATATTCTCAGCAGCTCTTTGTGGACAGGTGAAGCCTGCCAAGTTCTCTAGAGAAACTAGTGAAACCCAGTGAAACCCCAATTAAAGCCAACGACAGTGACATCTATTGGAGAAAAGAGTAACTACAGTAGTGCCATTGCCTGTTTGCATGATGATAGTGATATTTACTGCACAAAAGAATTATCCAAGGATGGCTATTAAGTATTATTATTATTATCATTAGGATCAGGGCTGAATTTATTTTAATTTTTTCACCCTTATCACAAACCAGGTGCAACCAGTAATCTAGATTCTCTAGTCCCATAGAAGGCCATGTATAGTTAATGGTCTTAAAGGACCTTAATATTTGTGAATGACACTGTAATCTTGCAGTTCACTTGAAACAAATGGACGTGCAGAGACATGCACATTTATTTTTATCTAATTTTGAACCAGCTGTCATTTTTTTCAAAGCACTCTCTGCAATCAAATTTAGTTTACAGGTGCTTTATTAACACATAATTTGGGGGACATGCCAATTTTTTCTTTTGCAGTATATGTTATTGCCTTTGTTGGAAAATTAGTTAAAAACCCAACTAAAAAAAATGGACAGATTCTGATAAAATTTTCTGAATTTGTACAAAACGAACTTACTAAGAATACATTAGATTTTGTTGGTGATCCATAAATTAATCTTAATTAATATTGAGAACTGAGGTATGCTGATAGATCATTGCACTCACGGTTTAAAAATCAAAATTTTCACTTCCAAGTCAAACTACACATCACTTCAGTCTTTTCCCATTAAAAATACACAATTAAGTTAATTTCAAACAGACAAAAAGAAAAAGAGAAAGAGAGACAAAACTGAAAAATATCACAAATCTTGTACGTTACCAGTTTATTTTATAGATAATAATTCTATGTATCTACATACAAAAGTTGTACCATTCTGTGGTACTTTGGGTAAAAATGTACTTATTGACAAACATTTATATCAAGTCTTATTGATCATCCCGAATGCAAACACTACATAACTAATGGCAGTTATATTTTACAAGACATAGACACTAGTAACTATCATTAGCACCTAAAACTACCCTAAGTCAGAATGAATACAGTAATACAAAAATATGACAACATTCACATCTTCTCAACTGAGAATATGACGAAAGCAATTGAGAAAATTTCCTCAGGCCAATTTTAAAGAAAAGTTGATCCTTTTTTTCTTTCCTTTGTGGTTGGAGCAGTGGTAGAAATCTTGTTGTTTTAATTTTTCCCATAGAGGCATCTCCACACAATGCTGCCACCTACATATCAGAAGAACCCATTACTGTGCTGCCACCTACATATCAGAAGAGCCCATTACTGAGCTGCCACCTACATATCAGAAGAGCCCATTACTAGCTGCTGTCACCTATACATAACCTTGCTGTGTTTTGCTGCCACTCATGATCATAGCTCTATTAAATTGTGTCATGAAGTTAACAAGACTTCTTTAAGGAAGAACAACTTACAATCACACACAATGGATTTTCTTGTTTTTGTGTGCAATGGAACTGATATTCAATACAGAGGCATTAATTCATTTGTTAGAAGTTAAGAGTTCGACAAATAACGAGGGTTAACTAGATTCACATCTGCCAACACACATTCACATCAAAGTTGTTCTTTAGGGAAAAATTCCACAATGCTCACCAAAATCAACATAAATTTCTATTTATGTTTTTTTTGTGGACAGGCTTTTAAATGAAATACAGAACAACTGTGATGAAAAAGCCTAGACTTCTTGACGATAACGCTCCCCCCTACCTTAGGAACTTCCTGTGAGGGCATGGATGATGCACACCTATTGTTTCTTTCATGACACCGATGGGGCTTGTATTAATACCTCAGATACTGCTGCCATCTACAGTCCATGGTACTGTGGGGCAGGTTGTGAGAGCACACTATTGGCATGTTCAGCTTTGTCACAGTTGCATTACTTGTGACAATAGAGTGCAATGGCTATGACATTTGTTATCTCAGTTATACACTAAAGTATGCATTATTCTCAGTCAAGTTATGACAATTAAGACAAATTGTTTGTAGAGAAGATCTAGAAAAGAACTGGAGCACAGCACTTTGTATTATTTCTTGTTCACAACTGAGCTATGACAGTACCCATAATGTGTGGAAAGTTCTATCTGATAACACAGGTGCATAGTGTATAGGTTTCCATTACGTTTGGTATGGCAAGCCTCTAGTACGTATAAATTCACGTTTCACCATTCTACTATGACTGGGTAGGCAGAGTCTGTGGCATGGTTTCAGAGGGCAGTGGATGGGCAGAGTCTGTCTCCATAGCTTCTTCCTGTTGTAAACCTTGTGCTGCTGGGGGTTCTTGTGCTGGAAATGAGAAACACATACAGTTCAAGATCTCAATTTAAGGAATTTTTTTATTTTTGGTCAATGAAACTGAAACAAAATTAATAATAATGTTCTGATGCCATAAAAGCTGTACAGATGGGGAAATTAAAGAAAGTGGGATTGCTGATCTTAATCTTCTTTATTCCTCCACAACAAAGTTATCACAAACCTTTGCAAAATGTTAGAAGTTTCAGAAAAAGAATTGTACCGCCTATAGACCTCCTTGGCTGCACTGCAGGTGGATTGTATGCAGTAGACATTACCTGTTGGCTCCACTGGTGCTGGTGGTGCTGTATCTTGTGGTGCTGATGGCATGGGTGGTGCCACTGGTGGTGTCTGCTCCTCTGGTTCAGGTGGCGCCGGTACTGCCGAGGCTGAGGGTGCCTCAGGTGGAGGAGGGTGATGTGATACTAAACAAAAGAATTGATTCAGCTAAATTCTATAATTAAATTCAGTAGTACCACACCAAATATTTGTGTAAAATCTTGTCAGTATAAAATAAAAAATACATGACAAAAAGATGAAATAACCTTTCATGGGGCAAATTAAAATGTGATGTCTTCATGACAAAGTCATAATCAGGCTACTCACAAAATAAGTAAAAAAAATGCGAAAAAAGAACAAAAGAAAATTCTGACAACCAAAGTCCATAAAAGGCCATGAAGCCGCCAGCAATTCACCTTACACAACCCTGCCCCCCTGCAGGTAAACCAAGCCAGAGAATACATACCGTGATCACCGGCACCTAAATGATGTGGTGCCGGGGACGAGGATGGTGCAGAATGTTGCTGCAAACTTTGCTGCTGTTGCTGCTGGAACTGTTGATGCTGCTGCTGCATCTTCTCGATCTGTAACTGCTGTGCTGCCATCTGGCGGGCACGATACTCGGCCGCCTTCAACTGCTCCATGTGGAACTGCTGGCGCTCTTGCAAAAGTTGTTGCCGTTGGTATTCCAGCTAAAAATATGAGTGGTTTCATACATTGTTGATGGTAAATTCATCCCCTTTTTTTTACAAGCTATCTTTCAGACATAAGATACACTCTCATTTCTTAAATGCTGTTTGACACCTCATATCATCATTAACAGGGATGAGACTTTTTGGCTTCCAAAAGTCATTAATCTGCCTAAAGTCTGAAAAATCTCATCCCTGCATTACACAAGTTAAGCCAGCTTCACAACCTTTACCGGTATTCTACAACCAGCACTAGGATCTATTCAACCCTGAAACCTTACTGCCTCCCAAAAGCAGCCTCCTAAATTTTGTGTCTTGGTTTTAAATAACATCTGCTGACTTGGTGGCGAACACTACTACCTCTTTCTTTGCTTACTGTATGGGAATCAATCCTTCACACAGTCCACAAAAACAAGTGGCAAATCTGCAACCTTCAATTACACATCATTATAGTTCTCAAACGATCTCTTCACGAAATCTTAGATTGAATGAAGACTTACAGCTTCTCTTTCCCTGTCCATGATGGACTCCAGTTCCTCAAAATGTCTCAGTTTAATCTCCAGCTTTTTCATCTGTGTCTCCACTAAC